GAGTGACAGTTTGGAATTTCGGCTGAGGAACCAAAATAAGTTTCGTAATTTAAGACCCAAGGCTTTACGCTTTTTGAATATGTGCGATTTCCAGGTTAGCTTACTATCCAGATGTATGCCCAAGTATTTTGTTTCTACAGCTTGTGGTAATTGAGTATTGTTTATTAAGACCGGCGGGCACGTAGAACGTTTTGTAGTGAATGTTACCTGGACAGATTTTGATTCATTCGGTTTGATACGCCAGTTTATCATCCAGAGAGCAACATTATCAAGGCAGGTTTGAAGTTTGGTGGAAGCACGGATTGGGTCACTGTCAACTGATAAAATAGCTGTGTCGTCTGCAAATGTACCGATAACACTCTCATCGGTAAGGGGAAGATCCGCAGTAAATAAAAGATAAAGCATTGGTCCCATTATGCTACTTTGAGGTACTCCTGCTTCTATATCATGAAGTACTGTAGTTTCGTTACCATGCTTAATGAAAAAGTGCCTAGCCGAGAGGTATGATTTTATAAATATGAAAAAATTTAGAGGTAGATACAGTTTTAGTTTGAACAGGAGGCCCTCATGCCATACTCGATCAAAAGCTTGTGAAATATCTATAAATGCCGCAGTGCAATATTTTTTACCATCTATCGCATTATGGATATGTCTGACAAGTCTATGAATTTGTTCTATTGTGCTATGTTTTTGGCGAAAGCCGAATTGATGGTCAGGTATGAGTCTGTTTTGTTGGATAAACGGAGTAAGGCGCTTTAGAAACAGGATTTCCATAACTTTTGACAGGATCGGAAGTAGACTTATTGGCCGATATGATTTGACGTCTTCTGGGCTTTTCCCTGGTTTCGGTATCATAGAGATTTGTGCTATCTTCCACTGTGGCGGAATAAACCCCCTTATTATCACAGCGTTAAATAGATGAGTGAGAAATACAAATCCTTTTGGTTGGAGCTGCTGCAAGGCCATGCCTGTGATTAAATCGTATCCTGGAGCTTTTTTTACTTTTAACTTTGTTATTACATCTCTAACTTCATTAATAGTATATCTTTTAATTGGAAGTTCCAATTGATAAGGCTCTTGTAGAAAATTAATCCTTTGATTCATGACATTAGGCATATTTTGGTTATCATTTGATTTAAAGACCTGGTCCAAATGTAACGCAAATGTTTCTGCTTTTTCAATATCGCTTTTTGCCCATGAGTTGTCGATTTTGCGTATAGGTGGTTGATAGACAATCGGTCTGTTGTTCTTTTTTATGGCTTTCCAAAGGGAATATTTTGTATCACATGAAGCACTTAGGTTTTGAAGGTATAGCGACGTGCGATTATTGTTATACTTTAAAAGAAGGGCTTTAACGAGTTTACACAGTTTGTTTAAGCGAGTTTTATCCGCAGGGAATCTCGACTGTTGCCAATGTTTTCTCATCCTACGCTTTTCTTTAATCAGGTATCTAATGTTAAATGGATAATCTAGCTTAACACTTTTAGAAATTGGTGGAGTTGATTCCCATGCAGACATTTGGACACAAGAGTTGAAATGCTCTACTGCTTCAGTTACGTCAGATTCAGTTTTTAACCTGACTTCGGTATTTAGACCAATTGAAATTAGTTGACGGTAACTATTCCAGTCAGTGTTTTTATTATGAAGAATACATTTTTCCATAATTTCACAGCAGTCATTGAGAGTGATTATTATTGGCGAGTGGTCAGATGACAAGTCGAAATTGGACTTACAGGTAGTTGTTTCAATACGTACCCCCTTTGATACCGCAAAATCAATTAAGTCAGGTATTTTTCTTCTATCTGTTGGCCAATATGTGGGTTCACCTGTTGAGATTGTGTGGAGGTTGAGTACAATTATTGCTTCGAAGAGTTGACGTCCTTTTGGAGATATTAGGCGGGAACCCCATTTTAAGTGTTTAGCATTAAAATCTCCGCCTACTAGGAACCTAGGTCCAAGCAGCTGAAAAAATGATATGTACATATCTTTCGTGATACTGTGGCGCGGTGGGCTGTAGAGTGATGAGAAAGTCATGTCGCCTTCTTTAGTTTGTACTACAATGTTTGTTGCCTGGATTTCATTCTTGCAATATGGTTTTGCTTCATAATGTTTTATCGAGTTCCTTATGAGGACCGCAGAGCCACCATTTCCTTTACCACTGGGATGCATTGTGTGATAAAGTTCGTAGTTCGGAATTTTAAAGAAACTACGCGTCGTGAATTGAAATTGTCAATATTTGAATGGTAATATCAATCCTTAATTTTTTTAAGGAAAAAAGTTTAAAATGTATATCAAAAGGTTTTATTTTTTATTTTGGAATTAGTAGAATTATAGCAGAAGGAAAAAGGTCACTGGAAATAGAATCTGTGACCGACTTCAACAGACAGATGTGCTACTGAGCAC